CCTCAACAACAATCATCGGCATCCTTCCCCAATCTCGCCATCCAAAACAGGCCCAAAACAAGCCACCAACAACGACCTAAGCCAGCCTCTGCCTCGTCGAAGAAGTCCTCGGGAACGTTTTGCATCCCGGAGGGCACCCCTGGTCAAGTGTTCTCTCTCAAGGGCACGGAAACCAAGCTCATCCAGTCATCCAGGAACCAAATCCTGGAATGCAAGGTTCTGAGAGGCTCTGGCGTCAAGTGGCAATTAGTTGGAGGCAAAGAATTCAAGGCATACGAGGGCCATTGGAACAACAAGTGGGAGATCCCTCCTGACTCTCAGTGCCTCGTCAAGAACATCGATCCGAAGAAGTCGAAGGAGCTGACGTGCGTTGACGTCAATCCTAAGAAGGGGGTGGTGAAGGCGGGCCAGACTTATGGGATGATGGCGAAGAAGACTTGTTGAATGTAGGTGTTGGATGGAAGGTATCGATGTCCTCAGTTCTGGAGGATGGGGAAGTATTTCTGAGCCCGATGAGTCTCGGTGAGAGACGATGTCAAAAAGATATTTCCGGAGGCGGTGTACATGATGAAAATGTAGGAGGTTATGTTTGACGTAGTGCATTTTGTGCAGTAGACTATAGAGTCCATTACCGGTTTGTTTGCTGGCTCAAACGTCATGTCAACCTGTGTAGGCGTTTATGTAGCTAATTGAACCGTTTCGTTGTAGAACGAAGGCCCGATCTTCCTTTACATAAGGTATGTTGTTTTGGAATTTCCATGTGCCATATTGAATCTTCTTGATGGCTTTCTAATCCTACCTACCTTAGGCAATACATTGTCAATAACAAGTGCCGGCACGTCTAGTTAATTCTGAGCATCATACAAACCCCATGTACTCGGTGTTCTGTTGAAAGGATGAGTGATGATGAAGAATTGGCTTTTAGGGCTCGCGCGCCATGGGTCAGGCGAAAGGCAGAAGGCGGAAAGACATGGCCCAGCATATCTTCTAAAGCAACAGGAAGGCGGTTCGGCCCATTTTTGGCTATCTAATGATTTTACAATGGAAACGGATATCTCAAAGCTTAAGAGAGTGATGATGATTGATGAGATGTCGTTGAAATGGCGTGGGTCAAAGGAGGCGCGGGGGCTTGGTGTCTTGGCGCCCGTGTTTCCCGGTCGCGCCCGGTGCCCGCAGCCTCCGTCGCGAACCCCACTTTCACCCATCCAGGCCGCCGATCATTCATCAAACTTCCTCTTGTCCGGCGACATCAAACATGACCTGAGAGGATTCCACCTCATTTCACGCCATACACATCATACAAAACGACAGAAAGACAAATATCTTACCGGCCACGCGCTTATCATCCGCGATATCAAGGGAGAAAAGGAGCACGGACACTCACTCGCGGAACTGACCGCCGGAAGACGAAACACGAGACCAACATCACAGCCGAGCATCAGGAAAAGCACAACCGTTGACTCACTAAACACTGTCGATCCGATGGCCATCATCAACACCAGCTAACACCGGCTTACCCTCTCGCCTTATTCATCATTAACGACGCATCCCGGGATTGACAATCAGCCCTCGCGCGCCCTGCCAACCCGGGCGCTTTCCGCCCTCAGAATGAACATGAGCTCACCACCCACACCCGGATCCGGCCACGGGCATGGAACGGAAGGGGTGGGCAGATCCGGCTCACGCCCCGAGAAACGCACCTGCATCACCTGTCGCGCCCGCAAGGTCAAATGTGACGGCCGGCCAGACAAGTGCACCAACTGCGAGCGGCTAGGATTCACCTGCTCTTACGACCCCAACACCATCGTCACCATGACCATCGACGCCGCCGGCCTTGGAGCTACCTCCCACGAACCATTCTCTGTCGACAGGCTGTTATCAACAGAGATGGAACGGAGCGTGTCAACCAGTACTACAACGACGGCACCGGTAGTAGGACTAAGGAGGATCAGAGCCCGACAGGCTTGTCAGAGTTGTCATGTCAAGAAAGCCAAGTGCTCGGGTATCATCAACAAACCCGGACCAGGAGGGAGCGGAAGCGGGGGATATCGAGGCTGCGAACGATGTCGGGCTCTGGGGATTGCTTGCGTTCTCAGGAAGGGCAAGCGAGGCTTGGCTCTACCAGGGATGAACAACACCAACAACAACAACTCCCTCGGCGATGCCGGCGAAATGGTTCTGGACGACGGCGGCAACGGCATGCACCTGGATGATCCTCGTGACTTGGACGACGACATGAACCACAACGGCAGCATCACAGGCGGTAGGAGCACCGCCAGTCCAGCTCCCATTTCTAGCAACAACCCAGCGGCATCCGGCCGCGGCACCATCGACCTACCCCAACCCGACGACCCTATCGTCAAACGCGCGTTCGACAACTACTTCCGCCATGTTCACCACGTGCCCATGTTCTCCTTCCTCCACCGAGCCTCTCTGATGGAGCGTTACGACGCCGGCCTGCTCGACCGCGCCCTGCTTCTCGCCATCGTCGGCATCGCCGCCTTACTAACTGACCTCGGCCCCTCCGTCTCCGTTCCAGACCCAGAATTATTCTCCAACCGCTGCATCGACGAAGCCGCCTCCATCTGCACCTCCGAGCTCGAAAACCGAAGCATCACACGCCTCGAAGCCTTGGTAATAGTCGTCAAGCACCGCATCCTCTCCAAACGCTTCTCAGCAGCCTTCATGCTCCACGCTCTCACTTCCCGCTTCGCCAACGTGCTTCGCCTAAACGTCGAAAACTCAGCCCTGTGCTTCCTAGCTCAGGAATCCCGCCGCAGACTGATGTGGTCCATCTACATGATCGACGCCTGGTTCGCCAACGGCCAAACCGAGCTCGCCCTCTGGCCTGATCCAGAACGACTAATCCGCCTTCAGTTGCCATGTAACGAGCGGAATTTTGACTTTGATCTACCAGAAGTTACCGAGCCGCTGCGCCAACCACCGCCCAGTCCGTCGGGACAACCGGTCCAGCTGCCTGACGCTGTGGGATTCACGGCTTTGCACATCAGGATGCACTGGCTGAGGACACGCATCCTGCAGCTTTCGCTGCGCGTTGTCGGGCCCAACCCCGACCCGACCGAACTGATGCAGTTACCGCTCAGGTGCGCCGACTTTAAAGCGGAGCTGGACTCTTTCGAAGCGCGACTACCGCCTTCGTTCAGGTGGAGCGAGTCCAACCTCCGGCTACGGTCGTACTCCACTCGCTTGGGGATTTTCTTCATGACGCATGTCTGGTGGCGACAATGCCACTTGGACCTTTACCGTCTCTTCTTGCCAGGACTGAAGGAAGCCTTGTCGCCGCAAAGTCTGGCGCAGCTGGCTGGGAGCACGGTTGGTAGTAGTCCCGCTGCTCAGCAGGGGCAAGGACTATGGCAGAGCAGTCAGAACGGGCAAAGGCAAGGGCTGCTGCTAGAATGGGCAAGACAAGAGTGTTATAAACATGCTCGCGCCATGGCGGATATGTTTGCGCAAGTACTGGCTTTGGGAGAAAGTAGTGTGCCGTTGGCGGATGTGGATTTGCCGGGTTGCGCGTTGCAGTGTGGGAGGGTGTTGTATCATTCTTTCCAAACTCGCGATGGTGGGGGACAATCGCCGGCGCCGTCGGCGGAGGGTGTGAGGGAGATGGTAAGCGTTTGTTTGAGGGTGGCGAGGTTGGCGTGTAAGGGGCCTGCTAGTAGGGCTATTGTGAGTCTTTCTCCCTCTTTGTTCTTGTGAATGTTGTGCTAACACCCAAACAGCAAACCGACATCGAAAAGCTCATAGCCGAAGGCCTCACCATCAGCCACCTCCAAGCAGGCCAGGGCCAGGCCCAGACTCCTCGACCCAACAACGACCTCTTAACACCCGGACCCGCGCCGCCCTTCTCCCCCGGTCCTCCATTCGTCGCCATGGCCGGTCCCATCCCTTTAATCAACGACCCTCACGAACTCGGCCCCCGTGGTCAGAATTTACTACAACAAGCAATGGGACCACCCGTACCACCACATGCACATACACATACACAGCAAGCACAACCACCACCGCAGATGCTCCCACCCGTCTCCAACCCCGCCGGTCCAGGTCCAGCACCAATAGGAGGAAACCTAGGACCAGGCGTAGCACCCTCCCAAGCCTCCGCCATAACAACCGGCTCCAACGCCTTTGAAGAGATACTGAATGTTAATGGGCTGAACTTTGGCTTCGGCAGCGGTCCGGGGGCGGGGGCTGACTTCTTTGCTCCCGATGCGTGGGGGTTGGGACTGTCGCCGTTTCCTATAGGGTTATCGGGGGCCGAGTGGACTGTGCAAGGACAGGGGCAAGGGAATAATGGGCAGCAGGGGGGGTTTCATGGGGATCATGGTTGATGGATGGTTAATAGGGGCTCGTTAATTGATGGGTGAGAGAAGGGGAGTCGATGCGTTGGTGGATGGGATGGCATGTCCGTAGATTGTAGTCGGTGTTGTTGCATTGTTGTTGTTGATGCTGCGGGCGGCGTTGCTTCCGTTGTTGTCAACGGGAGATAAAGCATGAGATGATGAGAGTGTAAAAAAGTAATGAGATACCCCTTTCAAGACACCCTTTATCCTTCCCACTGGTTCATGGAAACATTCCGGTATTGCTCCGGTAAAAAGTTGCTGCGTCAAAAGACAGTCAACGTGTGGAGAGCCGCCATCGTTGTCTCTGGTGGTTGGTCACAGATTCTGCTCATAACTCTGCTCCTCAGGGAGGGTTCAGGGGCAAGTCCTCAACTGAACGAATCCTACCTCTATCTGGTGACGAATACCGCGGAGTCCCGGACACATAACTGCACCAGGCCAGCAAATAACCGACGTGTAAGGTAACGCGTAATCTACCCGCCCTACATACTAGCCTCGTCGTATCAGCGCACTTTCCTGTTCTCTGTCTGCCCCGCCTTCCACCACCTGGCACTAGCTCTAGAAGTACCTAGGTAAGGTACATACATATACCAGTTCCCCCACGTACATTAACATTTTAACAAGAAAGGATGGAAAATAAAAGCGCGGTTAGTATAGTGGTTTAGTACTCTCGCTCCAAAGACGCGACTTGGGGGCCCCTCAGAAGTCGTTTGAGCGAGGATCCCGGGTTCGAATCCCGGACTGCGCATGAACGTCTTTTTTTGGTTTTCCTTTTTCCTTTTCTTTTCTCATTTCCTTCTTTCTCTTCTTCTCTTCTCTTTTTTGAGGTCACATCTTGGACACCTCCCTCCCTCACCAACACTGGAACGTCAGTGGTCGCTCTTGCATCGAATATACCACGTAGGTAAAGATACATCTTGTCTTGATCATTCCTCAGTTATCATCATACTTGCCTACTTGAGGTTCGCAGCATGGGTTAGTTAGGTTGGGACCCTTTACAGCTAGCTACCTCCCGTCTCTCTCTATCTCTGAGTTGAAGAAGGGGTACGCGGCTGCGAAGGGGAAGATTGCCTTTACTACATATTGCGAGGCCCGAATTTTGCGAGGCTGGATTAAAGGACGAGGGCGGGGAAGGGTAATCAATTGCTCTCACCTCTCTGGACGACATTGAGGCGTGGATGACCGAGACAGCTCAAATTAGCCCCTGCCAGTCCCTCCTGTCCTCGGGAACTGTTTGACATGTTGATCTAGACTCGGCGCCATGGAATTCTTGTTCTAGAAGCACGTTGGAATGATTCCATACCTACCAGACTATGCCCGGGGCACGAATCATGTGAAATCACCAGTCCTGGAAGCACGCACATCTTGAGATGGGACTCTGCTCTACTAGCAACATGGGTAATTCATGTACACTAGTAGTAGAAGAACTGGGTTCACGTCCTTCCATCAACACACAAGAGACTGGACCCTATTGGCGAAAGGTGCAGTGGGAGAAGAAATAAGTACATCGACGGAAAGGCATAGTCGGTGGCCCTGTGGTAAGGTAGATGAAGAAATGTGTCGTGACGTTGATTGAACTCTGCAGTTTCGCCGGGACCGGTCTGGTACCACCAGTGTCTCATATCAGTGCCGTGCCCGCTCTACAAACATGAAGCTGACCGACCATGCACGCATAAAGTGGCAGCAATGACTTGCATGGCTGCAACCACTATCCCTGTCATAGCTACACGAGTTGATAACGACCAAGATCAACAGTCAGAACGGCGGCGGTCATCAGTGTGGGCAACTGAACCGTTCACCTGAGAAACGATGGAAGGCACGCTGGCAGTATACTGCTCGGCGGATGTAAACAAGCCGGTGTCGATGGCGTTGGAAAGGTGAGTCCTCGTCCTCTGCCAAGACCAGGGGGCGCAACAATTCAAATCAAAGCAAATCTGGTGAAAGATTTGAATTGCTTTATCGAGATCGAGCTAGAATTGCTTTGTTTACAGCTGGATTTAAATTGCTTTGTTAGATTTGCTTCGGAATGAAAATTTTCCGGTATATATTAACCTTCCGGAACTACTTAAATAGCTACATCTATACCTTTTCGGGCAACTAGTATTATTCGTTGCCCGGGCGAAATACGATACTTTTTCTCGTCAATATTGAATTGTTGCGCCCCCTGCCCAAGACTCCTTGATGCAAGTGTAGTAGTAGGTTTTGGAGTGAATGTTCTTCATCGTGATCTGGAAGGAGCATAAGAGCCGGTCTCAGCCGGGCAGCTGGGGCCGCTTGATCTACCAAAGACCACGGTGAAACTTGTAACGAAGCATGTCCAACACTGGATGGGAAAATTATGTACTTTTCAGGGCGCGCAAATGTACTGCATATTCATCAGGCTCTATCAAGCACAGCACCGCTTGCTAGGTACTTGGGCTGAACATTAAGGCTTGAAAGAGGACTAGGGTAGTTTGCAAGTTACCCCTGACGTTTCTGTCTCGGTTTTCGAGTCGAGGGCCTGAGCTTTGGGGTAGCCAGAGATTTTAGAGTGCGCATAACATTGGGTCTGCTAGCAAGCTGTTGCTCAACAACCGGTTGTTATTCTTTTCGCCGCTGTTGCTGCCGAGAAGAGAATCATGGGATGAAAAGGGGCGTTTTTGATTGTTCTATATACTGCATGGCAGTTACCTCATTTTCTTTGACAGGGAATGCCTTGCAATAAGTAACTCGTACACATATGACTCCTTGATCGCGACGGCAAATGACAAAAAGACCTATGAATCCCATGACAGATCGCATAATCGCAAGGACTGTCCTCCACTCAACTCCTAAACTCCGTACAATATCCCACAAGGCAAATCGAAAGTCAAGCAAAGGTAACAGACGAAACTACATCTTGACACGGAGAAGATACCTCAGACGAATCTGGGTAACATCATACACAATGTATTCGTTATACCACAGACCAGCGCCCGGGTAGTTGGTGTCGCCGGGTTTGACCGACGTGTCGGGCTGGACCTCTCGTTAGCAACCATGCGTTTTTTATGAGTAGCAAGACAAGCAGAACAAGAACTTACCATCATTACACCTTGCAGTGCTGGGTTCACTACACCAGCATCCTTCCACTTTAACGGGCCATACCTGCCCTTACCCCACGTAGAAAGCATTCCCTTCTGCTTGGCGTGCTCGCCAGCACTGTAATCGGAATCGTTCAACTCCTGGATGGGGTCACCAAGCTCAGCTTCGCAGAGCAAGAGGAGGGCCGTGCCGTTGGATGCATAAGCATTGCAATAGCCCGCTGACTTGCTGGACATATCCGCCAGGTAGACGCCCTTTCCAAACATGTAGCCATTGACGGGAGCTTCCGGCGGCGCGATACGGAGACCCTGGCTAAGGATGCCACCGAAATTCGTGGAGCGGGAACCGTGCCACAAAAGCTTGCGATTCTTCTTGAGCTTAAGCTTACCGTCGGCATAGTCACTCTGCTCAAACCGGTCAAACTCGCCCTGGCGTTCGATACGGAAGATCTCCTCAACTTGGTAGTTAACTCCGTGAGTATGACCCCGTGTCTCCATCAGGTATTCTTGCAGGTTGGTGAACTCGGTCGAAGCGCGGTCCAAAGGAGACATCTCCTGCATACCGAGACCTTGGAACTGCCTGTCGAGGGGGTGGACATCGAACTGGGACTTGTCAATCTTCATGATGTTGCTGGCTTCCTTCATGTCGCTCAAGTTTTCGAGTAACTCGATTTCTTGCTTCAACTGCTGATCGGTCGCAATGACAGGTGGCCGGTCACGGCCGAACGCGTGAGGAATAACCGAGTAATAGGTATTGGAAAGGTGCTCGACCGCTTGCTGGTATGGGAGACCATAGTCAGAAGCTTTGGAAGGGTCTGTGAAAAGTTCCGAAAGATTCTTCAGCGCCTGGAAGCCGCGCGTGATTGTGGCCTTGCTGAGCTTTCCCAATGGGAGCTTCCTCGCATCGTATTTGAGTGCCGTCATGGTATTGTCCATCAACTGTTGGTTGAAGATGAGCTCCATGAGTTTGGCTACCGGAGGGGCAAGTGTGCATTTAGGAGGCTCCCGGTCGTCCTCTTCTTTTGGGGCCGCGCCGCCTTCAGCCTCGTCTTCGTCATCGGAGTCGTCCTTATAGTTCACCTCGACAAAGGCATACTTCTTGGGCTTGGGATCATCGCCTCGGTTGCTCCAGAGCAGTCCCGACTTGTCTTTGAACTTCTTTTCGAAAGTGCGCAGAGCATCTTCCAGAGACGAAGAGGGAATGAGCGCTTTCTGGCCGAACTCTCCGACACGTCCCCAGCGGGTCCAGACCGAGTACCGCGTGCCCTGTTCCGTCAAGAGCTATTTGATCGGTTAGTCTGAGGACGTGAAGGGGGAGAGGTTGAGATGGTGACTTGCCTGGAGGCGGTAGAACTTGTTGTTGTTGCCGGTAGAATTGGTCAGGTTCAGAGACGCGTCATAGACAACGCCATCAGAGTCAACATATACCTGATAAGTATAGGGTGCGCCCGTGTCCACAGGGATCTGCATGGTCTTGTCTTTCAGGACTTGGCCCTCGCCGACGGCTTTGGAGCTTTCAAGTTTGGACTTCTTGGGCGTCTCCTCAGCGTTTGTGCCATGGCGGACTACCGCGTTCCGGTTCGGCGATGGCGACGGCGATCTCTTTCGCTTGGTACCCTTGCTGTCGTTCCCATCCTTCTGGGGGGCAGTGTCTGCGTCAGCGACAGAAGCATTACTAGCGGCATCCAAGGAAGACATGTCCAGAGCGTAGTCAGCTTCCGGCTGGCGGGCGTTCTTCTCTTTGGTCTTCAGCAACCAGTCAATGCTGACAACGGGAATGCTCATTGCATGCGCCTGCCTGACTTTGTCGCTGATCTTGTTGGCAACCTTGTCGGAGTAGATGACATGAGTGACGTCTTGCACGATAGCCGTCCCGATGGTGTTTCCTCCGAGGGACTGGACTGTTGTCTTGTGCTGATCTTGACCGCCAGAAAAGGGTCCGCTGAAGACAACGCGACAGCCTTCCAGCGGCCACTGCGGCGCGGCTGGAGCGGCTTCTTTCTTTGCTCGTTTGGGCGGCATCGTGACAGACTGAAGGAGTCCTGAGGTGGAAGGCGCGTCCGAAAGTAAACAAACAATAGGGCGTGAAGGAAGGATGAGAGGTGAGATGACAACGAACGCTTGTATCGAGATTGATCGTTCAAGAAAAGACAAGTGAGATCAAGCAAACGGAAGACAAACTTGAAAAAATTGACAAAAGACGAAGGAAGACTGAGACAAAGGAGAAGGGAAGGAAGCAGCAACTCGGCTGCGGGAAACATCACTTGATATTGCTCCTTCCTAGCGCGTACAAATCCCGCGCTTTTCCAGGCAACAGCCGCCCCTGTTCTTTCCCTATTCTCTCAGTTCAACGCGAAATCACGAGACAGACCGCAGGATAAGTCGTCCGCTCCTTTCATCTTGATCTTCAGGCACGGCAGGCAGCTCAGCAGATTGACCCACAAAACGCCAGGCAACAACCACCCCTGTACCCAAAGTGACGTGATGCCAAGAGTTGGGGTAGCTTTGGAGTTTTGGGGTTCAGCGACAGCGGAGAGATGCCGCCGGCAAGAAGACCATCGTCACTGCCCGCAGCCATTCCCAGACTGACCAACCTGAAGAGCTGTTGGACCGTAAGGTAACGGCCACTTCCAGGAAGAAACTTGAGGTATATCAATCGCATCCAATTCACCCAGCCCCATAGAATCAA